AACAAATACTAATACACATGCAAACATTGAAAGACCAGCTTAGGAACTGGCAACCCGTTCCATACATATCTGACATAAACAGCTCAGAGTCTTGGTATCACTATCATAAGCAAACAGCTACAGAGGAGTGCAGAGGTAAGTAAGGGACTGATTGTTTTACAAGGCTCTTATCAGTTGATATTTTTAATCACTTTCATGCTAAACGTTTTAAATTCATAGCAATTTTCACCAAATCCATTTAGAGCTCAGAATATACCCAGCCAACCAAAACCAGGACCCTTCCAGATAATCAAGCCACTGACTGGCATGCAAACCGAATCCTACATGTCAAGAAACGATACAAGCATCCCGACCGAACGGCTATCATCTCCCGTTCGAACTTCCAATGGCATACAAGACGTTACTTAAGGTAACTCAAAGAGAATCAACGAACTAAAACATTCCTAATAAATTCAGCACAAGCATCAGTAGTAGAAATGTGTAAATGAGTGACAGGTTATATGTTCAGAAATTACCTAAAATATTAATCTTGATTCCAGAGGATACAACAATGAGCCTTCAGAGACAGGCACTTTATCAAAGTCAGTAATCAGAAGAAAGAGACTATAATATCCAACAAGATAAATGACAGATTACACTGTCTGTATGACAGCATACAAACAAGTGGAATAAAAATCTGTCTTTAAACACGGTGACTTTTAACAGAAATTTGATACAAAATATGAAATATCAAATGCATACAGGCAAAATATTTCACTAGGTTAATCTGGCAATGCTAAAGTTGCACAGTTTTTTTGTGTTTGCCTGTTGTAATCAGTTGCTTGCCTTTGTATGTTTTCTCTTCTTTTGTTGTCGGACTGGGGTCAGACCTCTTTCTTGGTAAGGCGGAGATGTAACAAGCTACATGTCAGGGCTAACCACCTGATGTGGGAGGAGTATGCGTGCTTGTGCGTGCAGCCGGACGGAGATGGAGGTGGCGCACGGAGAGCGAGCTCGGGAAACCAGGAGGGGAGGAAGGAGAGAGGGAGCGCGTTTGTATGCTGTGTGCATTTAACTGAAATAAAGTGCCGAGTCCTGTACGCCAGCCCTGGCTATTGTGTGTCTAAGTGGAGTCGACTATAGATATTCCATGTGGATGAGTGGGGTAACCCTCCAAGAATCCTCCAACGTCGCATGCACAGCCTCAGCTAAAAGCGCAAGGTCATTACACTATACGGACAAAATACTATGGTTCACAGTCGGGTTCAGGTACAGATATAGCTTTCATTCCTCAACATTCCCTGCGTTTAAGGTAAATCACAAGATATCCAGGTGTAATGATAATATTTCAAAAGTGACAGCAGCCACACAGTTTCATTCACTGTGGGGGACCAGACAGCATTCAGTGTCACAACTATGAAAAGTAAAGAATTCTAGAAGGATTCAGAATCAGAATCCTTTTTATTAGCCAAGTATGTTTCCATGCAAGGAATTTGCCTTGGTGGTGCTTTTAGAAGACACTACAAAAAACATACAACAATTAGGAAAGGTATGTACAGAAAAGTAATAAACATTAGATTGGCAATTGGGTAATGTGATAATTATATGGTAATTAATTTTAACAGTAGCAGTAATGATGATAAACATGTAATTATGTATGTGTATGCATGTACATAGTAATAATTGCAGTATAAATATAAAGCTATATGAATATAGACTATATATGTGATATAATAAATTAAAGGGCTCTTAAATAGTGTAATTATTAAGTAGCAGCCAAGTCAACTCTATATGTGTGAGAAAGCAATATGTATACAGAGTTAGCAGTATCTGTGCATAAAGTGCAAGAGTGCAGAATCTAATCATAGGGGATGTTTATCAGTAGTTCACCAGTAATTCGGGTCGATACTACATTGCAGGTGACGGTTAATTGAACGTCCATTCAGAGACTGGTTTGGTTAATGAGAGATTATACAAAGAATTTGTATAGCAACAGTGAATGTAAAAAGCTTAAACACCTACAATCTGAACTAACAATCTGAGGCAAACAGCATAACTGGGGAATTTGTCAGACTTTTTTCCTTTCATAATTTTACCTATCATCCATTTTGTTCTCACCAGTATAATGCAAGGTGATAGAATCTCCAGCAGAAACGTATTGATCTGAACATGATCTTAAGCTTTCAAGCCAGTTATTTGTCTTTAAGCACTTAGAGTTCTGCCATAAGACATGCCTGCAGCATATAGAAAGGACTGTTTGTTACAGCTTTATCCAAACACATAAAACACCCACAAACTAGAGATGATAGTGTGGTGCTGTGCAATTAGCCCAGGCAGGGAAGGTGTTCTGCATAATGGACTCAGCCAATTGTAAACCCTGTTTACATCTCAAACTACTGCTAGATCGACTGCACCTGGCGGTTTTACAAAACTGGCCATTTTGTCGGGCATTTCTGTGCGATTTCTACACACCAATGGAATTAGAAAAGGTGACCTGTAACTGGGCCATCCCCTCAGCATGTTCAATGGATGGCGCTGATGCTGTGAAGCTGCTGTGAATGATTTGGCTTCATATTAGGGCTGGGTGATATGACGGTAATACCCCTTCATATTCGCGGTTTTGGTTATTGGCCGTGAGCAATTTAACGGGAATAGTTTTGGGTCTTGCTGAAAGCTTGCAGAAACATGATGCATAAGCCAAAAACAATACTGAAAATTACTCTGATCACGTGAAATCATAAAACAAATATTAGCAATACATATTTGTTATTATAAGTGAATGCTATCATCAATATTAAAAGTTTCGTTCTGAGTACGTCGCGCATCTTTTTTTTGGCGACCAGTGTCACTCGCGTGTTAGCGGTCCGTGTGACCAGTGTCACTCGCGTGTAGCGGTCCGTGTGACCAGTGTCACTCGCGTGTAGCGGTCCGTGTGACCAGTGTCACTCGCGTGTTAGTGGTCCGTGTGACCAGTGTCACTCGCGTGTTAGCGGTCCGTGTGGCCGTGGCATCTCACATTTCTCACAGTGACAGTATACTTTTCAGTGCCAGGAATTTTGCACTTTTAATAATGAGTGCAAAACATGTTCTCATTGTGTACATTAATAACTTTGTATATACAGGGGCAAAACTTAGATGATTTGTATATTTCACAAATTGTCTACATAAATAAGGAAATTTGATATGCAAAGTGTACAGCAGAGTACTGGTAATAAATGGACTTATGTTTGTTAAGGCTAGCAGACTGTTTGTAGAATGTTTAAGGGTATTGTATAACATTCACATTTGCAGGGATCTTCGGAATGTAACCCTCGCAGTTACTGTACACATTTTTAATTTTTAAGAGCCCTCACGTTCATACATTTTGATTGCATGTGATAAAAATGGAAACAGTTGAAATTATGACATTACCAATTGATCTACCAGCTTTTTCATGCTTTCATATACTTTTGGCTAAAAAAAAAAACTGGTGGGCCGCTTGGTACTGTATGTGTGTGTCTGTATTTTGTTTGGTTACTTATGGTTAAGGTCGTCATTGTTGGGACAACAAACAAAATATTGTTTAGCCCAATATTTTTACATTAAAATATCACATTTTTGAAGCCCTGCTTCATATCCTACAAACTAAACCCACACCAGTCCAGAACCAAACACACAGTCAATCCCATCATGAGCCCAGACTGGGGAATCTGTTTAAAAGCCAAATTAGCATAACAGCCCAGTAGCATACCTCACTGATACTGCAGCCTGCTGTCGCTGTGGCACCTCAGCCTAAAGAAAATGTGGGCTAGTGCCACATGAGGGTCCATTACTGCAACATGGCGGCAGAACCTCAGCTAATGGAGGCTGTTATCCCTGGCAGCATCTTACAAGGCCAGAGAGCAGTAGCCAGGTGACATCAGAGAGACTCTAGGTTTCGCAAGCAGGAACCATAAAAAAAATCTATTAATTCTATTGCAAGGTACCACTACATGCTCCCTCACTGCTTGTTCATGCTTATAAAATCAAAATCCAACTCCTAACTAGACTCCCAATATAAAATTCCTTTCTTACAACGACAAGCTTTCAGCCAAAGGCAAAAGTCAGGAATATCCTGATATTTGCTCACTAATTTTATGGCAGGCAAAAACACCACAATTATCACCACAAAGTATCTTGGAAAAAAGAAGTGTTATAATTCTGGGAATTTGCGCACTTTAAAAGTAGTTTAAGCAATGTTTGAGTCCTCAAATACTGTTTCAATTGTTTTTAGCATCACAAAACTGCAACTGTAGAAATACAAACACCCAAGGAAACATCAAAAATTTAAAAATGTATCTGGCACCTATAAAGTTTTCTTTGTGTTTACAATTTTTAACACTGAATGTTATTCTATCTTCAACTAAAATTAAATACAAGGGACCAAGAGTGATCAAACGTTAAAAATTTATATAATGAATGGTATGCAATAGGCAAAAAAACACGAAAAAGCAATCGTCCCTTCGCAATCAGTAAGTGGTCATGCCAACCTCAGCAGCAATTATTGCAACTAAGTACTTTCTGCAGCTTTAGATCAAAGTAACCACACCATTATGGGTAGACTTACCAACAAGTTTAAGATGGAGCTGTTACAATTACTCACACAAACTCAATTACTCGATTATTAAAAAGCACAGATTAAAACTTTCCTTCTTGATTACTCGGCAATATAATGGGAGGAAGACAGCTACATTTCTGTTGAATTTTGTTGAATAAATTATTTCAATATTAAATATTTCATTGATTTGTTACCTCTACCTATCAAAACTCTTCAAATAACGATTAAATATTTGTTTCTCAAAACATTTAAAAAAAACAGAATTTTTCAAGGGGTGTATATCCTTTTTCAGATGACTGTTTCAGGCAAGATCTTTTAACTATGATGAGTGCAAATTACTTTTGGAAACTCAAACAACGTGAAAATATATTATGGAATCTCTGGACGCCAGCAATATAATTTAGTGAAAGAATCAATAGTGAAAGGCTTAGACGTCACTCCATACCTCGTTAAACGGTATGGTTTTGGACTGGCCCAGACTGGTTCTCATCTGCTGAGGCGAACCCTTCCATGTCCTGCCAAAAAAGTGTCTGTGGCTGATATCAAACAAGGAGACCCTCAGCTGGAAGCGGACCCCCTGAAGGCCCTGCAGAAATTTCTGCAGATCAAGGAAACATAACAGTAGTCAGCCACATCTGGGCATAACAGCACTGCGATGTGACACTCCTACTGGCATTAGCACACGGAACTTAGTTAAACCAGAACCATACTCCGGGAAATTATGATCATGTATTATGGAAATTACACTCAATCCAGTCAAGTAGACATCAGTGACTACCAATGTAATAAAAACATTCTAATTGTGTATTACTAGTTTATAAACAAACCAAAAATAACTGACAAAGAAGTGACAACAAAATGAGCGACTTAGGAGAGGTTAGCTGAGCTGAATCTTCAGCCTCGAGCAAAGGAGACTGAGGACGGACATGATCCAGGTATGTAACATTCTAACAGGTCTGGATGCTGTTCAGCCAAATGGCTACTTCAATATTAGTTTAAATACTAGAACTCATGGCCATAGGTGGAAATTGGCAGGAGAACACTTTATACTGGATTTGGGAAAGCACTTCTTTACACAGCGTGTAGTTAGAGTACGGAATAGTCTTCCTGTTAGTGTAGTGCAAGCTAAAACCTTGGGTTCCTTTAAATCAGAGCTAGATAAGATTTTAACAACTCTGAGCTATTAGTTAAGTTCTCCCCAAACGAGCTTGATGGGCCGGATGGCCTCCTCTCGTTTGTAAATCTTATGTTCTTAATTAAAAATAGTGATATATTTTGGAAAGGCATTATAAAATGATGCTTGAATTATGCATTAAGTAGAATTTAGTAAGTTGAGTCCTGGGTCTGCTTCTTAAACCACCCACCTGTTCAAAGTGTCCTCCGCAAACAAAATGCTTGAAAACTATCTGAAAGCCTTGGGAGGGCTCCTGCCCCAGGCGGGTCGTCTGGCCGTGAGGGGGCACCGCACGGCGACTGTCAAAGACTCTTTTCCACTCAGTCATTGTGAAGTTTGGCCATTGGTAATCATCTGAAATAGAGGAATTCACGCTAAAATATTTGGATACATTTATACCCACTAGACCTTTCATAGGGCGCCAGTCCTATGCCCTGTGAACGTGTCGGCTGATACATAGCTAACGTTAACCAAATATCTGTAATTCGCTAGTTACAGTGTGTTCCGCTGTGGCATTGCTCTAACCACGACAAACTTTAAATGCAAACAAAGAAAACAAGCAGAAAAGTGGAAAAAACCATCAGCAGCTAACTAGCTAGCATAACTAACAATCTGTTATCCATCGAACAGTACTTCACATTTCCAAAAAAGATTATATTTTTCAGAATATAACAAACAAGTGATGCTTCGATATCTTTAAAGAAAATTCAACAAAAACTGGAACTGCATATCAAAACAATTGCGGATAATTTACCTCTCCTGGTTTCTAACAGACGCTTCTGCCATGACTGTTAGATGAAGTACGTAGAAATATAGGGGATGTCGAAATGCATTGTAGTAAATACAGTCATATTTACTCTTCTTTAAATCGCACAAGTTGCTAATATGTTAATATATAATTCAATTTACTTTATTCATATAGTGATATGAATATAAACTCAATATAAATATGCAAAATATATAGAGATTTTTTTGTGATTTACCCCCTCCAAGGTACACACATAATGGTATGAACCGCTTCTTGGCTTCACGTTACCAGGGAGATGCACTGTTACGTTGCACCGGTTTGGACGCGTTGCGATGTAGTTCAGAGACCGAGGATGTAGTTTAGTTTCTAGCAGGGTTATTAGGTGATTGGTTTTCTAATAACCGACTGAAACGATTGTTTCATTAGTGCTATGTGAGACTCTATGAAGCTACCATGGCGACAGGCAGGCTGATTAAGTCTATTAGGTTCAGTGAGACTAAAGTAAAATATTATAAATAAAATATAAATAAAATATTTTACTATTCATGTATATTCAGCTCGATAGAGATATGTTTTATGGATTATAACCATATATTTAGTGCGGGAATTATTTTATTGAATTATTTTGCCCAAGGACAGTCGTGTCTCACCAGCTAAGACCTGGAAAGGTCGTATTTATACTTAATAGATCATACAGTCATGGTGGTGTGTCTGCGTGTGGATTAAATTTATATTAAATTGTGGGGACCAAATTTCCCCGAAAATGTTATTAAAACCGTTATTTTGACGCTGTGGTGACCTTTTTTTCAGGTCTCCACAAAGAACTGTGAGTGGAATCAAAAAAGTAAAAAGTCCGGTATTTTGTTTGGTTACTTATGGTAATTAGAGTTAGGGCGGGGTATGGTTATGACGGGGTTAAGGTATGACGGCCGCTTAGAGTGTTCCCCGTAGAAAAGAATGTAGAGTTCCCGCAAAGATATAATTACAAACCTGTGTGTGTGTTTGTGTGTGTTTGTGCGTGCGTGTGTGTGCATGTTTATCATAGTAGGTACCAAAATAATGATGCAAAGTTTTGCGGCATCCCTTTCGATAAAAAACCCACCCGAGATTAAGAAAATGTATCTTATTTTCTTATCTAGTTTGAAATACAACAGATCAGTCACATAAATACACAAGATTTGCCTGCCCAATTGTAGAAATTTAGTCAAGTGGATTTTATTGTCGTGCCAGCCATCCACAATTATTAATACCGCGGTACGAGACATCGTTCACCCAGGACCACGGTGCAACATATAAGACATATGGGGGACTGTATGTACACAATTACAGGGGTAATGTGCAGATTAAGTACACGATTGCAAACACGGGGCCTGGACACGGACCACACATAGTGCACATGAGGTGACTGGAGGCCAAACACATAGTATGTACATGAATAGGGTGAATGCTGAATATAAACTTTATGTACAAACTATGTTATTAAAACGTACGTACAATAATTTAGCAGCAGGTGATGTGGCAGCGGATAACAGAATTTACTTGATATATATAAACCACGTAAGATTACTGTAAGTATAATACTTTTCTGTTTCTGGATGGGTATGGAGTATGCTTGTGTGTCAATGTTCAGTAAATGAGGGGCATGTATAATTGAGGAAATCCAAGATATCAGAGGTCTATTTTGTCACTGAAGCACTTCAATGTATATCAAGAGAATTATATTCATGTGTGATGCTAGATTTCATACCACCAGGTGGCGCTCTCTCGCGAAATTTGCCAAAGAAGTTACAACAAAATGAGCAAGTGACGTATGAAAACCAACAAATGAAAATCATTCATTTTCTGCAAAAATTCGTCTTATCTGTAGCTGAATCACGCAACTATGTTATTAAAACGTCATGTGACAACCAAAATTTAAATTTTCTTTGACTGGATAACATTTTTTTTACATTTTAACAGTCACGTTTCTTGATGTCAGAGACACTTGCTCCTTAGCTGCAGTTGAATCTGAGTTTAGGCCAGTAGTCATGCGGCTTATTAAACTACATTGTGTCATTTGAGCAGCCGTTTAGATCGCAACCGCATTTTAAAGTAAGCCGATTTGCTGAGTCCAACCAAAATTTTAGTTTAACCTACGACCAAAGTCTTGAGTTACGACCCGAATGCCAGTCGAGGCCAAAACGTGTATCCGCTTGTGCGGTTGTGAACAGGTTAGGTAAGGGGTGCTTTTGGAGGTCTATTTTTATTTTATTTAATTTTATTTATCCTTTATTTTACCAGGAAGGTTCCATTGAGATACAATATCTCTTCTTCCAGGAAGTCCTGGCCAAGATGGCAGCAAATAAGACAATAAGACAAAAGTTTCATATACATACACAAAGAGGTTCGGAATGCATTATGGGTATTTCCATTATTTCTTATGGGAAAAATAGTCTTGACTTGCGACCAACTTGAGTTACGACCAGCCCTCGCGAACGAATTGAGTTCGGAAGTCGAGGGTCCACCGCATTAATAAACTTGAACGTTATGAAGGGCGTCCGCAGGGATAGTTGTAGGGAGGTGGGGCTGCCAGTTGTGCGCATGCTCAGGACTTCGAAAAAGAGCCGGCAGATGCAGACTTGTAATCGAGGGGAGCGGAGTCATGTTTCGATTATTTAATAAAAAGAATAAACTTGTGAAACTCAGACGCCGGGGTGAAAGTACAAAATATGGAGTCGCGGCTGCAAATGTGAAAGAGCTTCTCAGCAAAGGCTGCAGTATTTTAAAGGTACTGTGTCCGTGTGTGTGAAACAACAGCTGGTCGTTTTGCACGGAAGTGAAAGCTATTGCGTGTTACATCTGGACTGTAGTACAAAGATTGTGGCTCATTGTAATGTAATTAATTAGGTACCACTGAAGGGATCTCGGGTTTGCCTGTATGAAGATGGAACCGAAGTTGGTGATGATTACTTCAGAAGGCTTCCGGACAACGTTGAACTTGTTCTGTTGACTGAAGGACAGTGCTGGGATGGATGTAGGTCCAGTGAAATGTATCAACACGTGGTGACAGTTATACTTTGTAACTTCAAGGGATGGTATTAATGTGCAGTTTTATTAGTCTTTTATGTTTTTAATCTATAACAAGCAGTTACACGTTTGATTTTCTCTTTTAATCTTGTCTCAAAATTCACATTCGAAAGAGTGCCGTTAAAGGGGAAATGGGTTTCATTAAGTGTGAATAATGTGTGTGCATTCCGTGTCCCCAGTTGCGTCTGATATTAGCCTTCTGCTTGGCTCCACGAACCGTCATTACGATCTTTTAATCAAATCTGCCAAGAGCCTTCTCACAGATGAACAGTCTCAGAAAAAGCGGAAAATCCTAAGTGATCTACTTCAAAACCTAGAGGACAACTCTGAGAGTGAAAAAAGGGAAGAGGACAGCGACTGGTTTCAGGGTAATATTACAACATTCCCACCCTCCAAAAATCCTTCAACCGTGTTACTAATATTCTGCAGTTGACCTCAGTGAGCTTTGTTTGTTATGCTGACCTGTTCTTTTTCTGCCCATGGTATTTTAGGAATTGACCCTAGATTTAAGACCAAGTCTGATTACATGAAATACAACTGTGAAAGCAGAGTTAGAGGATATTTGAAAGAGGTAATCACTGTAATTATACCTGCAGTAATCCCTAAACTTGATCTTGACTAAGCACTTATCCTGCTTCAACCTGAGTTTTAAAAAAATTATATTTAGAGAAACTGCATGAAAGATTTTGTTCTCACTGCAAACTTTTGTGTACGGTGTAGTTAGATATGATGCATTTTTGGGTGGACGTGATCATTTTGATGTTTTCCCACTAAGGTGGATGGATATACTCCGAACATCCAGAGTCCCAGGGTTCGGACAGAATACAAGAAAGTCGTCACCAATATGCTTGAGAAACTGAAAGTCACCAAGTACAACGGCTGCTATTTCGACAGACGACAGGAGTCTGACTGCATGTGCTCCAGGGAAGGCTGGTTTTCTTGTCAGGTGAGTAGCTCACAAGGGTTGGCCTGCACCTTAAAAACAGTGCTTTATCTATCTTCTTTTCTGGTGTGGTAGTCAGTGCACCTGTATAGTAACCCATATATAAGGGTACCCATCTTGCATTGCTTCATTTGCACTGAGGAAAGTCCAACATGGACTGAAATGTTTGTACTTTTGCACTCTATGCACTTTGTACAGCCCTATAAAGTAATGAATAGCACTATTTTAAATTCAGACTCTGGTCTCAATTGTTTTTTTTTTTTTTTTGCTCTTTCTGTGAGAGTCCTTCCTTGTTGCATTGTTTCTTGTCAGGTGAAAACGTGGTTTTGAACACGTGGCAAAATAATGCAGCATTACGTCACATGTGAGAGTTTACATTGTGGCTTGGCAGGTGCTGCGATTCTGCATGGGTCAGCTGTGTTTCACATTAGAATTATTTGTATGGCTGATTCTATTGAGTGCAGCATATTACGAGCATATTTCTTGAAGGTCTCCACCGTGGCGTGCCCTACTGCGGCACGGGAACCTTGCTGTGCCGCATAGGCCCTCTGTGGTGAGGATGACCTGGGAGCCCAAGCTGGCTTGAGTTTCACTGAGTGGTCTACACAGCAGGGTTCCTCTCCCATTTATTGCTTTATTACAGTGTCTGCTGCGAGCTGTAGCTCTCACTGCCAAATGTCCCATCGCGTACTGAAGCCTGTGGAATAGAACCGCACGCAGTGAGGGTGGGCTAACCCTCACCCCTGCTGTGATAGAATCAACCTCACAACCTGAAGCTTGCCATTCCAACCTGCTCTACAAAAGGCTGCTGGAAAGTGCTACTGCTACAATGGTTAACTTCAGTGAATTCACATGAAATGACATGTAGACGGTAAACTGCTTCTTCACGCAGGGTGCTTTTGATCAGGACAGTTGCTCATCTCTCCACTCTATTAATCCTTATGGGAACAGAGAGAGCAGAATCCTCTTCAGCACCTGGAACCTCGACCACGTGTAAGTCACATGTTCATAAATCCTTTCACCTATTACCTTGTGTTAAATTCTACTGCCAGTACTGACATTTCAGCACATTTGATTAAAACCTTTAGGATCGAGAAGAAGCGGACTATCATCCCGACACTGGTGGACGCTCTGGGGCACCGCAGCCACGGTGAAATTAACTGGGAATATTTCTATAGATTGCTGTTCACGCGTGAGAACTTGAAACTGGTACATATCGTCTGCCACAAGAAGACTGTTCATGACCTGGCATGTGACAGTGGAAAAATATACAAGAAGGTGAAGAAAAGGAAATGAATGCCACATGATTTTTTTCCCCTCTTTGCTTCAATGAAGTAACTGAAAAATCCTCATAAACAAGATCAATCCTTCTTCAAACCACTTATCATAGTCATAAAGGTGCCCGAAGCCAATTCCAGGCAAGACAATACTGGGATATACCCAGAATGGGAGGCCACTTCAGTGTAAAGCATACACAATCATACAGTATGGGAAATTTAGAGATGGCAATTAACCTAACTACGTGTCTATAGAGGAAACCTACATGGCAAGAACATGGAGACTACAGATGCAGAGAGCAGTTCAGTAATGACAATGTACGTTTTTTTTAAAACAGATTGCAGCCTTTTAATTTTTTAAGTGCAGTTTTATATTTTATTTAATGATTTTTCTATCTGCATGTCACAATAAATTTTTAGAAAAAACAATAATTTCTGTGTTTCACTTATCACTAACAACATATGGTGTTCTGGTAACGTAAGCCTCGAGTAAAACAGGAGGATGCCATTACTGATTTTTTAGATATTAAAGACGACAGGATACTAAGTGCATGTTACACTACAGTCCTGCTTTCTGTTCAGTACTAGTGCCTTTTATGTTCCTCTATCAAACTTAAGTTCTGTGACACTACAAACCATCCCATTCACTTATGGTTGTCTTATTAAAATGTTAAACGTTACCGTATCTTACATTTTGAATTTTAACAAAGTAAATCTGGACCTTGGACAAGTAGTATAATTAATTTTACTGATCATTAACCACCGTTAATAAACATTAAAATCAGTTGCAGCATTTGCTCAGATGTTTTTAAAAAAAAATTACAATACTGCATGCTTCTGTCATTGAAAAATTCAGTTATATGTCTTACACACATACAAATTTAAGTTACAAATAAGCAAGCTGGTAATGTTCTGTGTTCATGACAGACATGTCAACCTCAGGCGACTGGACAATGAGCAATATATTAGTGCAAGGACCCAGGCAGGTCACACAGCACATCTTTGGCTTCCATTCAAGAACAAAATAAGTTCTTAAGTGCTGTTTTCAAGACGAAAAAAAAATTTGACTCGGCACTTTGTGTCCACCCCGGAGGTCATCAAAACAGGCCATTTTTACGATTCTTTATGCTCTGTTGGGCCGCCGTACCTGTAGAATAAGTAGAGGGAAAGACAGACTGTTCTCATGGATGTGACGTTTTGAAAAATCCAATCAGCCCAGTAAGGTTGGGGTCATGTCTAAGGATTACAGGCTGTTCTCTTTCACCAGATATGTAGCTGTCAGGGTGTATCCTGTCCACTTTCCCATAAGCGACAAAAAGGGCCGTACCTCTCTCATCTGCTCCCAGCTTCCTGTTTGCTAGGTACTGTTGCAACTGTCTGGAGGGAAGATTTCTGGAGTAATTTTTCCCAGTCAGTATTAAACTGCAACACCAGGGCGGGTTACGTTTGTGCCAACGCCAGTAAGGCTGTGTTCATTCCCAGAACCCCCACCTCAAATGTCAATAAAAATTATCTGCTAAGACCAAAATGTGTCATTTATAAAGTCCCAATATTGCAGATCTTAATAATACTGCTATATGTTTTAAAGTTTGTTACAGTATTTGATTATATCTTGTTTCAAGAGTTCTGTTATGGTTTTGAAACTTCACTGTATCAATGTCAATGATGACCGAATATGTTGATTTTCACTAAAATAGGAGACTTTCATCCTTGAAATAGTTACAGAATATCCCACAATTCATTCTTCATCCAGAAATTATTTTACTTAAGTGGGTGTGAGGGTGCGTTTTTTTTCCTCCTGAAAAGAACAGCATTAAAAATTTGATTGCTGAACATCACACCAACTGGGCTGGAATGTGAAAGAGGTATAGCAGTGTTCCTAAAAGTTAGGGCTGCACAATATCACATTGAGATTACATGGCACATGCACAATAATTACCAGGGCCTTAGGTAAAGGGTATAAACATTTGTCCAGATGCTGGCATTACACTACTACACAGACATTCACTTACACCTACATTTTAGTAAGCACATTGCGCCTAAAATATTAGTGAGAGGCGATGGCCGATGGCCAAAAGTTGGTAACCTGTATAAATTTGGTGTATCCTTATGTTTAATAACATTTAATAAATGCAACGCAATTTCGTTCTGTTGTGCACTAACCCGTGTATCTCTGAATGACAATAAAGTAACTATTCTATTCTAAATAAGTGTGTCAGATTTTAAATTGTAAAAAGTACCACTACACCAGCGACATCTTTATACCTTGTTTATCCACAATGTCCTCTTTCAAAAGACGTTGTGGCTGCTAATCTGTCCCTTTATTCACAGCCACTTCAGTGCTTATCACTCACATGATATACCAGGACACTACTGTATATCACTACTGTGTGGCGTGTGGCTTGCTTTGCCAACAAAATTCAATGAACATCCACATAGTACCGAAAACCAGTGTCCGGGCAAATGTTTCACCCATCATCTAAAACCATAACGCAGTGTGATATCGCGCAGCCCCACTAAAAGTATTAAAATTACTGCACATTAGCCATTTTAAACCAAATTTAAGTCTCATTTAAGCCTAAGAAATTCAGTCCTCTTATTTAAATACTATCTTCCCCTTACTAATGAAAGCATCTGTATTAAATTAGTGACTCCTCACAGTTCAATAAAGTGAAAAAACGCTGCATACCATTCTCCTGCTCTGTAACCAGGGGGTCATCATGGACGTCCTCATCACTGTCATCCCTGGCAATATAGTGCAACCTCCGGTATTCCCTCCTGCTTATGTGGGACTCTAGCGGGATTCTGGGGGGATAATCCTAGGATAAGACATGCAAATATTTATTAGTTAGTATCCTGAAAAGTTTGAGATGCAAAATTTTACACAAACTACACAGCTGATAAGTTTGTGTTACTGCAACATCAACTTCAGAATAAGAGGAATGACATTCTTGTTTTGTACCAATCACATGCATGCTTACAATGACACATTTACATGGCATGAACAATGTCGACAACAGTCAAATTTGTATTGTACAGGAGTTACAAGGCTGTGTGATCACAGTTTTTGATACATGCTGTGATCCTCCACTATGTATGTAAACACTGATGCTGTAATTTGTGTGACACGCCAAACTGACCGAACTTCAACACAGTTACCTGGACAAGTTCTAAATTGCCGAAGAACTGTCCCACAGGCATGATCTGGTTGCTGTCATCATCAAGGAAAATACTGTTGTCCTGATCATCCAGCAAAGGCTCAGGATCCTCCCCTGTCACGTCGCAGTTCCCCGGGTCTGACCGGTGCCCCAGGCATGTCCATGTGCTCTTTTCAGAACAAAGTCCAGTCACAACAGACAAGGTTTCTGTACAGTCTTCCTCTCCACTGCCGTTCGTTACAACTGGACTCTGAGACAAACCATCTTCTGCCAGGTAATCTGCATCTCTCCTATTTATTTTCCGATCCGTACATTTCCCTCTCGGTCTCTTCACTGGACACTGAAGATCTGCCGCTTCTATGGATGTCTGTAAACAATAATTGGGTTGGAGGCTACACGTTCTGTAGGAGATTAAATTAAATTACATTAAATTTAATGAATTGCAGGATCATTCCAGCTAAACCCTTGCACTAACCTGTTCAGCAGCTCTGTCTCCCTGGAATTGGGAGGTTGCCGCCTGCTTTTCTCGCAGCCTCGCCGAGGTGCGTGTCCTGCCCTGTAAAAGAACAAAAGAAACTCCCTTCACCTCACACCGAGTACAGTGGCATTAACCGGCTGCAAACGCCTGTGAGAAACCGAACCACGCGATTGTATGCAACCAAACTCGACTGCAACATTAACCGGGCAGGGCGAACCCATAACTTACGGAGTTACTCTTTAGCCGCGCTACCGGTCAGTCGACTTACTGACGTTACATGTAAAAACTTTTGTTAGTGCGAGATAATTCTCGAGATAAAGTCTCGTTTTGTATTTTCACTAGCTAACACAGTATTTAGTCTAACAGAAACTTACCATTCAGCCGTAAAATGCTCAGCCCTTAAATACTAAACTTAACTTGCTAACTGTGAACCGATGCTCAAGTAGCACGCTAGCTGCTAGGCTAGCTACCAACGTGTGAAATTTACTTTGAAAGCATTGGAAAGTTATTCACATTTAAAATGTGGAAAAATTCGAATAGAAATGTACTTAACGTATAAATCCTCCAGAAGTTCCCCGAACAGCTAACTCGGTTAGCCCGAGCCCTCCACGGCCATATAAGACCATACACACTAGGCTAAGGGCCATTGGCAGCTAGCGCGGCTCTGATAGCTGGGGGGCGCATAAAACACGGATCATACGGCACTTTTACCTGCTTTCGCCTCATACCAAACGTCTTTCCGAGGCGCTGAACGGGACGAACAGAGACCGAGAGGCACAGGAGGACCGGCTTCACCGGGGAGAACTCGTACGATCCGCCGCCACTCGGCTCCTCACCCGGCCGCGCGCTTCACGCGTAAAGCGCGTCACTGACAGGGAAACCACTGTCGCTTACATCATATCAAGCAGAAATTCGTACTTAATTTGCGCGGTTTGATTTTAACTTAATTTGCTGATCAGTCTTACTGACATAACATCGGTATTACTGAAAGTTAAAGCTTCTCTTTAAATAGAAATAAAATATAGGTAAATAACCGTAAAACAACAGGAGTCCTGAAAAACATAGAAAATATTAAATAATTACTTTATGCTTATGATATATGTAAACCCCACACACATGGAACCCTGGCAGAGACTTAAACCCAGGTCCCAGAGGTGTGAGGCAACACTACCCCCCCCCCCCCCCCCCCCCACACACACACACACACACACACTTTATACCATTATTAAATAATACAACAACAATACAAAATCATAATAATAATAATAATAAGTTCTTTAGAAATTTAACAAATATTTGGTGGAATAACCCAGATTATCCCAGCTTTGAAAAATGTGGCTGATTCCATCCCACAATAACTCAAACAGCTCAGCTTCATTTGAGGACTTGTGATCATCCATCTTCCATTTTATAATGTCCAGAGGTTCCAGCCTGGTGATTGGGCTGGCTGTGTTAATGTCTTGATTTGTATGGTACAGAGCATTATCTTGCAGGATAAGACAATGTCATAAAGTCATACGTGCTGGGGAACATGGTCTGACCAAAGGGAAGCAATATATTCCTCCTGGGATTCTCCAGTATTCCTCCTGGGATCCTCCAGGATTCCTCCTGGGATCCTCCAGGATTCCTCCTGGGCAATCTTGTTGCTCGAGTCAGATGTTCTTCACAGAATCAAGTCTGCCTGATTCCAGCCTTCCCGAAACACCCCCAGATCATTGGTGATCCTCCACCAAATTCCACAGTGGGTACAAGACACTGGGGCTTGAAGGTCTCAACAGTTCTCTCTCTAACCATCTCATCAGAGAAGATGGTCTTTTGCAAACTCCAGTCTGGCTCTTCTCTGCTTCTGCTGTGCCTTTGAGGTGCTTCGAGGACCCTGTTTCCAACCATCCTCGCTATGTTCTTCATACCACTTAAAGTTTCCCATTCTTTCTGAAGGTCACTTAATGTCATCCTTCAATTTATGAGACACAGTCAGATGTGTTGGCTGTCATCTCTGACATTAGACAGTCCCTTCCTTTTTTGGTCATTCCCATTGTCTCCTGCTTCACCTTGATCTAGTGTTCCGCAGTCTTGGAAATCTTCTACCAACAGAACCAGGAGAGTAGCCTTCATCTCCTCACTCCACACTTTAGAAATCTTCACTTTGGGTATAGCCAATGGTGATACCATAATGTATCTTAATTTAAAGTATTTGAAATGTATTATTATTTTTATTATTATTTTGGCATCCGCTTGGTCATATTAAAATAGGATCGTTCAGTTCATAGCAGTTCTCAATTTTATTCTCTTTTGGTGAAGTTTGGTTCAGCTAATCAGTATACTTGTTAAGTTGAATGAGATGTGTTTCAGTTCAACAAATGCTGCATGTGTGATGGCTGTCATAGAAATACAGATTTTTATTTCTTTTTTTAATGGAGTGGTCTAGTTTTTCAGAGCTCTATATGGTATGACTGATACCATTTTTTTCAGTAGATCTTTCCGAAACAGAAGGAAAATATATACATCTTCAAGAAAGCCACAGAAATTCTAAATATAATTGTGAATCAGAGCACACTTAACATGATTGGTTGCCATTAATATCTGACTGTCATTTACATTCTCAAAATTTTCCATTGCATACTGTAAGTGATATTAACTGGAACATATGTGATTGATGATGCAATTTAATATATAAGATTTTGAAATAGTATGCGATAGGCTACTCGACTGCGATGTGGTGACTTTTCCTTTAATTGCTATAGGGGGCAGCATTCATGCATGTTTCGAATAAGAGCACATTTCCGTCCAAGTGTTTTATGACGCTAGCATAGCTTATACATCAGGCCTCTGGTTCAGGACTGGAATTCCTGGTATATTTTTTCGTCGTTCTCATGCTCACGTACATGACGTCAGCGTCCTCTTATTTTACCAGCAGGGGGCTCCTCACAAGACTGTTCCATGCAATTTACGATGGAAAGATAAATTAAAACATGAAACTAGAAAAGAGCATCCGCTCATCATTCTCTCCTCTGTCAATAAATCATCCTATATACAGACAGCGAAAGTATTCACAATAAACAGTATATATGCCTGTTTGCATGCATACATGCACTGGCAGGGTGAAAAAGTACAGGTTGGTTCATTTGACGGTACAATTACTTGTCAGTGGGGCTGTATCATCAAGGGTCTGCCAACTGTACCCTAGCTGTAGGTAAATGTACCTTTTAAGGTACAGAAATGGACTTTGTACTGTTGGGAGTACATTATTGTTGTTTGTACCTTGGGGAACAAAACTGTAGCTGTACGTCACGCTACAGGTGGGTCTGACCTGCAGGATGAAGCTCCTGTATGTTAGTAAGGGGTCAACAAGATTAGGAAGGATTTGAACAGCCTTTCACCATTTTGATGGCTCTATACATACAGCTTTTTTCATAGATTTTCTGGTTGTGAGTCTGAGAGGTCTGGTCAGGGGCGCCGTAAGGGGGCGGAAAGCTAGGACGATTCCAAGGGCCCCTGAGTGACAGGGGCCCTACAAAATTAGGAAAATAACTGGATTGGTTTGGACTGGGGGGCCTAATATGATATGCTTTCATGGGGCCCAAAATCTCTAGCGGCGCCCCTGGGTCTGGTTAATACGCCCTGCTGTCTTTATCTGCTGCAGAGACTTAACGTTAATGGAACTTGCACAAGTGGCACCAGACAGAAATGCAGCTCGTGAAGATGCCATCTGTGGCTCCTCATACTGAGAATGGGTGGGGAATCACATTTTTTTTTAAGTTCCTATTCGATTCGATACACAACTGCCGATACCGACACAGATTCCGATACAAGAGCGTTTTAGTTTTATATATTTAAACTTTATATATTATTTTAAAAATAGTAAATACAAATGAAAAATGACAGAAAAGTTTTGATTAGGCTACTACAAAAATACATAACGTACCGTTCCGCCGTTTGTACATCTAGTTTTAAGTATTTTTGAGGTATTTGCAGTTCAATTTAAATCTTCCGAATGAGTACAGAAGGTGGCGAATGCTTGAAATGCCCCACAATTTCTCTCTCACTGGCAACAGCGTCACTTACACTTCGTTGAGACAGCACCCCCTTCCTGAACCACAAGCTGCAGCGAGTGCGCGAGACCCCCCAAGCCAGCTTCTTTTCCATATTGCTTTTTTACATTAGTCGCGCGCTCTCGCGCACATTAATTTCGTTTAGTGGGATTTTCCACTAAACGGCACTCCCACCTCTCAAAACTTTGTTTTTACAAAGACTGCTCTCAAATAATTACTATTTCTTGTTAAAAGGGTAAAATGCTTCCAGATCGTTACCCTCATCTGTTATTTTTACGCTTATCCTGCTGCAGAGCGTATGCGCATTCTGTCACTGCGCATATAACAACTGAGTGGCAAAAAATACTGAGTGGCAGCGTTAGTGTTCGGCTTGAATGAACAGCTACCGTGCAATTGATTGTACGAATCGATTTAACAAGAAATCGGAGCGATCTTTTACAGACTGTAAATAAGTATAGGACCTGGAACAGTCACATATGGCCAATACCCGATTGAATATCTGAATATCGGACCAGTGCACCTCTACATATTAGGGTATGCTTATCTTATGTTAGTGGCTTTTTAGACGGAACTGGGTCAGTTAGCCACGTGATCTGACCCAGAGTAAACACTCCAGGGCCAATAATATTCTGATTATTGCTTTTTAAAAAATAGCTTCAATTACCATTGGCTATGACGAATTGCATGCACCTCTCAAAATGTTTGTGCCTGTTAAAAGTGAAAGCTATATCCTAGTGATTTACCTCTACCAAATTAGGGGCCCAAATGTGTAGGTTTTGTTAAATTGAATAATTTACCTGCTCCTGGTCAAGAGTTTCAGGAAGATGGATCTTGACCACATCACTGCAGCACCTCTGTTGTGTGTAGGGCACCTTGTGACAATTGTATCCTTGCCGTTTGCTTGCATTTCCCTAGACACACTCCCAATGCATCCTTTCATAATATACTCGCGACCTGAGGCTAAATTCTGAGTGTTGTTATGATTGAAACTCTCAGGTCAAGGGCTGACATATTCCCCTTGCGACTAAAGTATTACTGTCCTGTTTATTTTGTTATTTCTCTTCTGCACCCATTTGCAGGTTTGTTTCTAAGCTCAACTCAAATACGTTTTTAAAAGTTGAACTAGTTATTTCTCTCCGGCAAAAATAAAGCTCTTATACATAAATATTCGCGGTTGGATTTATAGACAAGCCCCTATTCTATATCCCTCTACAGCTGCACGTCATATCAGGAGTAGATAATGCAGCACATTCTCACGGGATAGAGCCACCACAAAGGAACGGGACAACGGGCTTCAGAAGGACATATTGCTCAAAATGGGGACTAAGCCACTACATCAAAAAAACCTCAAACCAGCACAAAAGTACCTAAATTCAAAGAACCACTTCAACAATAAACCTTATCAGAACACAAAACATACACATATAATCCAGTTTGTCCCATAATGAGATAAACTCTCCACTTAGGGTCAGCTGAATGTTATTGGCTTAGGTGGTTGTCGGCACGAGGATGCTGCTCAACTGCCATGGAAACAGAAAATCTCACAGGAGCCCAGCAACTCGCCAGTGTTCTATGTCATTCACGAGAGTTAAGTAGTGAAATTACGGCACTTTTTCACTTGCTGCAGAACAGAATGTTTAAAAAAAAAAAAAAAAAAGATCCACAGAGTGTTCACATTTACAGCACCATTTATATTTCAAGTTAGTTCTCTTGCTAAAGAATACAATATTAGGCTAATTCCTCCTGTACGTTAAGGTGGTGAGATTTGCAGTACTTAATATCTCAGCACTGTTTCGGATTTTACCAAAGGTTTTCAGGATTAAGCCATTTCGCAAAACGTGTTTAGGCCATTCTGCTTCTGTAAGAAAAATGACATATAAATATATTGAGTATTTGGAATGTCCGTCTTCCATCCGGCCATCTTATACAAGCTAAATCAGGGTCCGTAGAGCCACATTATTCCTTTGTCAGACCCAAGTAACGACCCAAATTCACGAAAAAAGTTGTTGACCCAGAAGGGGTTGTAGCGACAGTAGTCGAGCAGGGGGAGGTGGGACCCCACCGTGAACCTGCCACCACCCCCAGTCTATAGCCCCGGGCCCTCGAAGTCTCTGCACTGCCCTGATGTCCGATGCATATACTACACGTGCGTATACTATAGCATATTGTGAACACATTATACATAAATCGCTGTGTATGTTTCTTTTAAATGTAAAAAACTGGTTTGACACTGTTCACATATGGTAGACTTAAATTATACATAAATTAAATATAAATAGGAATATTGTGTTGATTTTCTCTTTTAATTAAACAAATGCCATTTCCAGCATGTTACTCTTATTTAATTAAAAGACCCCTATTAGATATCTATTCAAAGACCGTACGGTTCATGTACCTACGTGACACATGGCCATCTGTGACGTGTAACCCGAGCGCTGCCCGTAGCGAATAGGTGCGGCGGGGTGGGAAGGGTTAAGGAGCGGCAGAAAAACTCGGCTCGGCGGCGGTAATTATCAGATGCTCCTCTACTGAATGACTGGCGAAGAACAAGGAGGATGAAAGGAAAAGGTAATTGTACAGACCCGCTGTGAAAAACCGAGGATGATGAATAGACCAGAGGGACACGCAAGTACGAGAAAAGGTTTGACTAGAGCAAGTCGAACTTTTGAAAGACTTTGCGTCTCTATCAACTGAACGCCGACTATAACCTCATTCTACTCAACACGCTCCATTCCTCTCTAAGGAAAATATGCTGCTATGTTGCAGAACCATACCCGTCTAGTGCGGGTGTTTAATTAATCGGGTCTGAACCTTAAGCGATGTTATCATAACAGGAGAATGCAGCATTGACCGTATAAGTCTACAGTTTGTCCCTTTTTGTGTCACAGATATGGAGTATTTTTTCAGACGGAAGAGAGTGCTGAAAACACTAATAAGCTTGATTTTAGCTTTTGGTACGTTGTTAATGTTTCAAAAGCTCAAGCTGGTGGAAAACAACGTTAAGGAAAACCTCATGAAAAGCAAATATGCCGCTGGGTTCTTGGACATACAAAGCGATTTATTTAGAAGTGCTTTGGGAAACAATTCGCCACCGGGACTGGGGGAGAAATTTCCTGCGGAGCGCGCGTCTGTTTCCAACGCGACCCAGGCTGCATGGGATGTGAACACAATTAACTGCAGTGAGAATGTAGACCTAAAGGAAAAAGAGTGGTTTCAGCGACTGGAACCCAGATTTCACCAATTTGTGTTGCACAGACACTGTAGGTACTTCCCGATGCTGATTAACCACCCGGAGAAGTGCCAGACTGGAGACGTGCATCTACTGATGGTGGTAAAGTCGGTTATAGAGCAACACGACAGACGAGAAGTAGTACGAAAGACCTGGGGAAAGGAACGGACAATCGATGGTAAAATCATAAAAACGCTATTTCTACTAGGTACCCCCTCTGCAGGAAAAGATACAAGAAACCTACAAAAACTGATCGATTATGAGGATCGGCTTTATGGAGATATCTTGCAATGGGATTTTATAGACACCTTTTTTAATTTGACTCTGAAGGAGGTCAATTTTTTGAAATGGTTCAATATTTATTGTTCTCGGGTGAAGTTTATATTTAAAGGTGACGACGACGTATTTGTCAACACTAATAACCTAATGGACCTTATTGATTTTAAGACAGAAGAGAGAAAGGTACGCAATCTGTTTGTTGGGGACACTATTTCAAAAGCAATTCCCATTAGGAACCGGCAGAGTAAGTATTACATACCAAGAGAACTGTTCGACAAACCCTACCCGCCCTACGTAGGTGGCGGTGGATTTGTAATGTCAGGTCAGTTAGCGCAAAGGTTATTTGCAGCTTCCGAAGACCTGGAGCTTTATCCCATCGATGACGTGTTCCTGGGAATGTGCCTGCAAAGGCTGCACCTTTCCCCAGAGATGCATGCGGGATTCAGAACCTTTGGCATAATGAAACGCCAAGTCAGTCCCATGAATAGCGACCCGTGCTTTTACAGAAACCTCATCGTAATCCATAAACTGGGCCCACAGGAGTTGCTTAGAATGTGGAATATTGTGTACAATAAAAAACTTATTTGCGCCAAAAAAGTAATACTTTCACTGTGAACCTTTTTTTGTAAGGGATCCCTAAAGGAATACATCGTTCATATTTTACTGGAATGCCATAAGCTCATTGATGGAATTATAGTTTGTTATATAAGTTATTGACTGGTTGTGGTTTTATTGCACATTGTACACGTTGTATTTGCTGAAATCCAATGTCTTTGTCTGTACATTGAAATGTTCGTTAGATAAATAAACATACTTTTGCTATAACTACACACTGTTGATGGAATTTGAAAGGGCTGCGTTGAAAAGAGTGTGTCACGGGACGCTACGCTTACGACGCGTTTGAACGGAGATCAGTCGTCATGTATTTCTAACGCCAACGCTTTTGAACTTGTTAAATTCAGAACCGCAAGTGCAATTTCTTAAGATAACTGTAAGAAGACATGTTCCTCAAAAAAGACTTCTAAATGTAAAACTTTTTGACGTATATGACAGATAACCTGGACAATAGCTATTGTCACGTATAAACATGTATTTCGCACACCAACTGACTCAAAGTTTTTGTATTTTTAATTTGTCCGATTGAGATGCCCCCCCCCCCCAAAAAAAAGAAAAGAAATGTAATTTTTGATTTTGTTTCCAAGTTTTTCTTTCATAACCCATCACATAGGCTCGATATCACCATATCTATATGTATTGTTCAAAAGAAAATGTAACTTTCACTGCATGAACCACGCATATAATCAATCGCAGATCATTAAACGTTGCCCCTAAAACACAATACCATCACGTTCTCATGTTTGCAAAGAATATTCTCACAGTGGGACCTGATTGGCAACAGAATTTGCAACTTTATTAAAAATTGGTGATGGTGACAGTAGGTAGGTAGTACAGAAGTTTTCCGGTTCAAATTCAGTGAAACTGTTTCCACGCTTTACATGTAACGGGTATTTTGAGTGAAACTGATACAATGTTTTTGGACAAACGTATCAGTTAGGAAACTATAATACGCCAGAGTAGATTTTCTGCAGAAAAAAAGTTGTTTGCCTTAGTTTGATACCTGGGATTTTGTCTTGTCTGTTAGTTTGATACCTGGGATTTTGTCTTGTCTGTTAGTTTGATACCTGGGATTTTGTCTTGTCTGTTAGTTTGATACCTGCATGGGTTTCGTTGCGGCGCTGTTACCTGTCAATGCTGGAACAGGCTAAACAAGCGTGCCACTGTGTTCACATATGTACGCAGTGTATTTCGGCAAACCAGACAAAACAATATAATGTGTACAAGTTGTTATTACTCAGCTTCAATAACACAACAACAATAAAACATTCTCAGTGATTCCCCACTGCTGGCAGAAGTCGTGGTGGCGCCCAGACGACCCGCGCACCTCATGCCAGACGCGGGACGGCTTGGCCGCCACTGATTTCCCTCACAGTCTTTTCCCAAGACAAATTCTTATTTCCAAATAACTAAAAACTTACAAGGATAGTTACTGAAAGTGATGTGCACATGGTTGCAAAAACATGTTCGAAAGCACCAAATATCAAAAGAAAATGCAGATGTTTGAATCACTATACAATGCAAAAAAAAACTGGTAACAGTTTAATTTTTAAGGTATGCTTCTTAAATATTAATAAACTGTTACTCGTCATTTGATAATATATTCATAGACAGAAAAACTAATTTTCAAACTAATTACAGTTATATCTGCCTCCTGTTATTTACAAAATAGCTTGAAAATCACTTGCAAATATACTCAGATTTGATGAATAATTGAGCATTTACAAGCTCTTTAGTAAATACTTTGAAAGACAATAGTAAGACATTTTTGTAATACATTTCTAAATTTGAAAGTGAATCTTTTTATTTACAAATATATTATCAAATGATTAATAATAGTTTATTAATAGTTAAGGATCAGACTTAAGACCGATAGACTTGGAGCACAATGCAAAAGTAACTGATATAATCCATCAGCAATTACTATGCATTAATTACTATTGACTTAAATTTGATTATCATTATTGTAACTTTAGATGTTATAAGAAGCAACAGCTAAATTGAGAGTATTTCACAACTATGCAGGTCTGGAAATGTGAAAGTGTCAATGACCATGCAAAATTATGCATTCACCTGTGCAATTACGGAAAACTCTAATAACATATATCACAATATAAATCACAACACTTTTACCTAATGTTCTTAAACTAATGTCCTAAGACATTGTTTGGTAAAAGGTTTCTGATTCTACGGAATAAACCAAACTGGTCCTATAGATTACAAACTGAATTGTTGTTTTTGTGCCTGGCACAAAAGAAATGTGTCATCTGTCCTTAAGTTACCTTAATTAGGCACAACTATGCTTGTAAGCCTTTGTTATCTAAGGATGGCTACTGGTGTTTCTGTACTATGCTCTTGTATCTAAAAAAAAATCACAAATAAGTTATAAACTAGAAAACTTTACAAAGAAAATATTGCACAACAGGAAAGTCACAAGTGAACAAAATATATATATATATATACTTGTCATTTTTCTCTGAAATATCAGTTACAATATTCACATTTGAAACATGTGGACTACAGGAGGGTTAGGGTTAACAAGTAAAAAATAACTGTAGAGAAAACCACTTCTTTGTACAAAATTGTCATTGTAAACATATTTAATACTGCATGAATATTAAAATCTGTAATATGCAAAGGGTATTCAAATAATTAAAATTTAATTTTTATGTTATCAGTTTGCAAATTAATAAATAAAGTGTTCTTTGAAACTTTTTTTTCTTCTTTTTTTTTAACTTAGAACCAAAAAAAATCTCTCTCCAGGCAAGGTGCTCAAATAACATAAGTGATGTACGTGACTCAACAAACTCTGTAAGTTAAATATTTCTTTGGCTATGACAGGCTGAAAGACGACACTTCACCTAAATACTTCACTCATGTAAAAAAGAATAAACATGAACCTGCACACGTAGGGAAAATCTGTACATAGAAATGCCGAAACAACCGCAAATATGTCAATTCAACAAAAAACTGTAAATCTTTTGGCAAATGTGGCCCAATGTGAATGTGAATCTGTACCACTGAGCTATGAATAAACAAGGTGCCCAGTGAGGCTTGGATTAATCATATGGAGAGATTCGTCAGTGCTACTAGGGTCGAAGAGCATTTCGAGCTTAACGTCTTATTAAGGGCGGGCGCCGGGCTATTCCTCCGCGTCCAGCCCTGGCTCCAGGTACCCTGCTCATGCCACCCACCAGTCGTGCTTTGGGCCCTAGAGATACCTCCTTTGTCTTCTTCAAGGTGCTGGTCTTTCCTGTTTGATAGAATGAGGAAGATATTGCTCTCACATTCTGACGTGGTGTATTACACAGAAATAATAAAGTGCACTTCATGGCCTGAAGGGATCATGCGGAAAACATCTTTGTCACGTCTAACCCAATGACATATTCTCACATGGCTTCCAGTCCCCAGCAGGGTAGGGACCCGCTGACACTATGAGTAATTCTATCATGTTGATTATTCTTAAGTTCGACATTTTCAAAGGCCTCTATTTAACAACATTGATTTTAGAGATATGGTTGGGTTGGAATACACACATATTTGTTTTCCTCATAGTTTTAATCAACACTAAATTCATACAAGGTTTCTGCTAAGGCTCTTTTGGGATTAACAACAATGTTCTCCTTTATTGGGCCCAGGTCAAGGAGAACGGGGGGGTGGTTCTAGGGTTTGTAAAAGATCAGCTGTTTCCAAAAGAGCCCTCAGTGTAGGAGAGCTCTGGGCTCTGGCCCCCGTCCCGAGGTGGGCCTGGGGGGATGAATGGCATACCTTGTGGGGGCTTCGCTCTCTGCAAGGCCGCTGTCCTCCGTGAGTTCTGCTTACAGCCATCCGGACCCAGGAGGTGAGACTTCCATGCCTGTGGATGGAGCGGGAGTCACTGAATGGCTGCCCCACAGATCAACTCCCATCAGCTAGCGTGAGCCGTAGCGGTGCAGTAGGCCGTCCCTCCTCCCCACTCGAAACTGAGCTGCTCCCTCTCTAAATGTTAGTAAACAAGACTTCATATAAAATGTTATGTTCAGAAGACAAAAAAGCCTGTGGTTAAAAAAAAACTAACAAAAATCATGGAGGAAGACACAAAAAAGATGAGCAGCCTCTTTCTGCTACCCAAGTCAATGAAAAATGTATTTTCTTAAACTTGTGTATGAATGGCGTTTTTTACACACAGTATTCTGCTGTGCTTCTCCAGCTGCCCACTGGGATGTTTTCAGGTTGAACACATGCTTCACTTTTCACAGCTTTGTGTATTAAACGGGTGTTTACTCTGTCTGTATCATCAAACAACAGTTCTAGAGGAATTCTCCAAAGATTGATGAGGTTTTTGTCACAGAAATTAGGGTTGGCGAATGCTGAGGAACTATTGTGTAAGAAGAACTATTGTGTACATTAAATGGATATTTGTTGTATGCTGATCTGCATAATTCATTAAGTCAAGGAAAAACTGCTCTGCAGAAGAAACTGCAAGTCAACACTTTGCCAGTTCGCCAAGCTTCTGATGTATACAAAATACCTTTTTGATCTTTACATTGGAAGGAAACAATGAACAGGATTAAGCATAATTGTAGCTACTTTTCTAACACCTGCATTGTTTGTAGAGTATAATGTGAGGTTTGTGCTGGTGATAATCCTAAATAATATCCCAGAATTTATACTTCTGCAGTCTTTTTAACTCTCGTTGGAGTTTCATTTTAAGCAAAAGAACCTAGTGGGGAGCAGTCAACCTCAAAACAGACCAAAACTTGGCGCATAAGTCACGGTGCAGACTGGCTAAGACTCAGAGAAACATTTCACTAGATCCTGGGATCATCCACGGTGATCGGACTGAACAGCACTGAACTGCACAGGTCCATGACATGCTCTGGGGTATCAGCCTTCACATTCCCTGTGGGCTTTTCTCAATGACCCTAATTCCAGCAAAATCCCATGTCTATGATACGCAAGCCTTTCATAAAGGGAGCCGGACACATGCTGATTTGTATACACACACTTCTCTGTAAACTAGGACAGATTCAGCTTCATTGTGTATCAAGGTAAGACTCAGCTCAATATTTTACTGACCCCAACCCACACACACACACGCACACACACACACACGCACGCACACACAGATTTGTGGACTGTGGCAAAAGCAGTGTGCAGGACTGGGGACAGGAAGCAGAGAAGGGAAAAAGTAATCTGACAGACTCTCCGATCAGGGCCAAACAAAGACTGTTTTGAGGGTAAACATGATGCAAATTCACTGACGTAACCTTGCGTGTGCATGTGAAGGTTATTCATCTAAATAAAGTAAATCAGTTTATGCAGTGCTAAGCAGTACACATACAAAATAAGTACTGCTAAAAGAAACCAATTAATTTATTAATATAAATACTTCATTTTCTACGTATTGTACAACCATTTAGCTGCTATTTAACTACTATATTTAGCTAATTAAATAATTGTTTGTTTTATGCCTTACAAGTGATTTCAAACGGCCACCTATACATTTAACCATTCCGTCAGTAATTTTTGCATAATATAATTTTTTTTTTTTACTCTTTATATTCTATTAGTATCCTTAAGCCTAAATTAAAACACCCTCCCTGAAAATATTGCTCTTTTTGTTGATTCACAAACTTAATACCAACACTGGAGTTATTACTGTGTCACAGTCACACGGAGGGGCGGTGCTGGCTGACTGAACTGGTTTCAGACCAGCAAACAATGCAGCTGCTCCTGGTTGATGTAAGTATGTGAGCACACACACTCATTACGCATCAGGGGAGTGTTTATGGTCAGAGTGCTCGAGGCAGGGGAGAGGCACCAGTAAAAGTGCTCATACGCTGATGGTGACCACTGCCCTGTTGCGGAATGAGTGTGTGTGCTTACACACTTAAAAGAACTGGGACCAGCTGCGGGTCTGAAATCAGTCTAGTCAGCCAGCGCTTCAGCCTGTTTGGTGGCTTTTATAGTGACTTGGCAGGGGAAGTGTCCAGATTTGGCACCAAGAATGACTTAGTAAACCACATAAGTGGAACAGGTCTGCAAACAAAACACCCTCAAAACCACTGGACCAATAGCCTGGAGCTTCCAGCCTTTGGCCTGTGTGGTAGAGAGCATTTATGCTATAGCCAACAGTTTGGCGGTTCACATCTCAGGATGGCTCCCTACTGCCATGGTAAGGCACTTATCTTGAATTGCACTGAGTGGAATAAAATACTAAAAAATACTAAGCAGAAATGAATACTCATGGATGAAACTATGTACCAAATAAAAGAACTAATTGAAAATAGTTTAAAAAAAACAATCTGTCAGTAGCCATAGCACCTGCAGTTGAGACTATGTAATCCAGCTGAAGCTAAGCAGGTTTAGGCCTGGCCAGTACTTGGATGGGAGACCAACTAGGAGAGCTGGGCTGCTGCTGGACGAGGTGCTGGTGAATCTATCCTGTGGTCTTTGCGGATCCCGAAGACACAGAGCAGTAATGATAGTGCTGTCCTTCGGATGAAATGTTAAGCTGGGGTCCTGACCCTCTGAAGTCATAAAAGATCCCTGGGCATCCTTTGAAAGAGTTGGGGTGGTAACCTGATGCCTTGGCTAAAATTGCCCACTGTGCCCCTATTAAATCTGGCCTCCTAATCATCTACTTTATCTAACTGGTGAATTCCCCTTCACCACCTTAGCTACTATGTGATGGGCATACTGGTGCAGAACTGTCACATCACCCAGGTGGATGCTACACATTAGTGAGGATAAAAGTAATTCCCCATACTGCTAAGCGCTTTGGGTGTCTTGAAAAGCACCATATAAATGTGACGTTTATTAAAATATACATTTATTACAAGAAACATTTTACCATTCATTCATCCATCCATCTATCTTTTTTTGAGTGACTGCTCCTTCACCTTGGGTTACAGTGATTGGAAGTTATTGTTCCTGGAAGAGCAAGGCACAGTTATGAACAAATCCTGGGAGTATATTTGGGCATGGATGGTAGGGATGTGTCCCTGCCAACACTGTGGGAGCAGCATGTGTGTTTAGGGAGGTGGGGGGGTTCGGGGAAGATTTAATTCCTACCAGTGGTGAAACCAAACCTACGCCCTTTCCACATTAAGACAACGGTCTTCAATTATTTTTACCTGTGGGTTGTGTATACAATCTCATGAGATCCTGTAAATTAGTGATGATACAAACTTTTACAGTAATGCAATTGACAAGTGTTTGTGCTTTGAGATACAAGGCAAAGAAGGCATGTAAAAGTAATGTATATCTGTTCTATTACGCAGTGTAATAACAAAAATATAAAGTAACATCTATTTTTTTTTAGTAATTTTTATGTACTGAATGTCTCTTTACATGATTAGAGAACAACTGCAATGGCTACTACTGTACTTAATTTTATGCTTCGACTGACAATGAAATGTGAAAGTACAGTGATCCCCCGCTATACCGCGGTTCAGCTATCGCACCCCCGCTATTTCGTGGATTTTCCCCCGATGCGTCACAGTTCTCTGCGTATCAGGTACCATGCTTGTGATCTGATTGTTTTCCTTTTGTTTTAAGCCCTACGATGGCTCCCAAGCGTCCTGCATCTTCTAAGCCTTCTGGTAGCAGTGAGCCTAAGTGCCAGAGGAAGACCTTGACCATTCAGGAGAAGGTAACACTGCTGGATAAGCTTCGGGAAGGAAAGTGTTACATGGTCGTCGCTCGCCATTATGGCTTTAATGAATCGACGGTACGCTATGTCAAGAAGGATGAAAAGAATATTTAACAGCCATATACGTTTTTATTTTTATATATTCCATTACGTATACAGAGAGAGAGAGAGATGTGTGTGTATGTGTGTGTGTGTGTATATATATATATATATATATATATATATATAATATATATACACACACACACAGACACATACATTACATATTATTTTTTTATTATTATTATTATTATTATTATTATTATTATTATTATTATTATCATGTTACTTAGCCCGATATCCACATATATGTGTTGTTTTAATAAGTTTACATGTGTTTAAAGAGTATGGGAGGGGTATTTCAAGGCTTAAACTATATAAAAAAAAAAAGTTTATTATATGGTCTTTCTATATCGCGGATTTTCACCTATCGCTGATGGGTCTGGAACACATCTTCTGCGATAGGCGGGGATCACTGTATTTTCTTTTAGATATAGTGACAATGAGTTTACAAAAAGTTGCAAAGGTTTTACTGCAAACAAAATTGTAACTGAAATAAATTATCAAGTTGGATTACATACTGTGTCGAGTATTGAAAATGGTATCGAGCGTCAATACTTTTCTTGGTATCTTATCAAAGCTTGAAATGTTGATATTGTGACCATGGATACACAAAACCACACATCAAGCTCAATTTAAAGACATCGATCCACCTAAACTGCAAGAACCGCGTACCTGGGAAAGGCCCCACTCAGCAAGCACTATGCCCTTACGGCGGGTGACGATGACATTCCCCACTGAGCCGCCACATGGCCGTCTCAGCGTCACCCTTCCCTGAACCGTTCCCTTCCACTGAACCTCCACAGCAAAACCACTCTCAGAATGCAGTTGGCTCTGCTTCATATGGCTGGCTCCAGTGAAGCCCAAAGTAGGAATTGCTTTTTGCTACTGTCTACTTTGAGAATCGTTTAGGCAGAGGGAGGTATCATTAAAAAAAATAATTAAAAAATCCTGAAATAGTGAGAGGTTACAATATGTCATCATATACAAAATACTATGTATTGACTGGAAACATTCAGGTAATAAATAAAATATCTAAAATATAATTAAAATGAAGGGATTAATGTAATATTCTGAACACAAACATGTTGGGGGATGAAAGCAGCGAAACCCTATTCGCCAAATGCCTCGGTCTGAACTGCGATGCTCTGAGTATTTGCTGCTAAGTTCTGAATATCGAACCTGCAGTCGTGGTTTTTCTGCTATCAGCCATTTAACAGAAATAATTGTGTTTCACTCTTGGGAAAATTACATGCTAAGTGCAAAGAGAGGCATAAAAGCACAGCCCTTTGCCTTGTTTCCGAGAGCAAAAATTTTGCCCTCATTGGGAAAAGCAAAATAAAGAATTGCACAATTTTGCAATTATATGTGTAGGAAGAGTAAAAATAGAATTATTGTTTGGTTCAGCCACCAAATGCAGATCAATTAAGTGGACTCTGAAATTTAAGTATGCTCCAGTGTGCTGGTACTATGATAACAAATTACGCCGTGAGATTACTGTGAAAGTATCTTATTCGGATGGTTTTCATGTCATCTGAATAACAAAAGGTTCTATAACAATGTGGTCACAGGAGTTCATCCTTTATCAGGCTCCAGAAAATGCAACAGAATCTCACCTCCTCTCCTGAAGCAAAATTATCATGGCATAATGGACAATGGTTGGCTTTTTTCTCGGGTCCAGGAGCTTAAAAATAGTAAAAAAAAAAAACAGAGAGGCAGTCAGGACAATGCATAACCCAAAGCCACTGGCAGAAGCTAAGAGGACGTACATATTTCTTGCTGCTGCTGTAAGTTGATAATTTGCAGCTCAACAGTGACTGAAGCACTTGCCCAACATAGCTGAACACTAGCTACATCCCAAAAGAACCAGCAACTGGGCATTTTCCCAGAGTTTTTTTGCTGACCCTAGACATCAGAGAGATGACAACTATCGCATAAATTCAGACACCACACCTGTGTGTAAATACCTGCTTTCCATAGTCTTTGTATGCCTCCGTTACTCAATGCCTTCCCTTTTCTTGGCATTTACATGTACAGTGATGTATAAAAAGCACATTGTGGTGTACAGAACAGTTCTGATTGACACTGTGGATAAACTGTTCCGCTGCAGCTTCCCTTTAAGCCTTGTTTGTAGCATGACCTGTGGTTGCTGGCACACTTAAAGGGAGACTACTGAATGTTTCATGTAATGCCGGGCCTGGATTTTATCTTGTCATCTCTGATTAGGAATTTCAGTTTCCTTGCACACGCTCAGTACAGCTCCCTCGCCCATGACATAAGGCCAGTTCCTAAGAACATGTCCAGTCCTGCTCCCTCATACATACCCACACAGTCTACCCTTGTCACATACACTAAGTCTGCTCCTCCCAACAGCAAATCATGCAGCTGTAACTCAATATACAGAGATAGCAGACAGAGCCAGGAGATTCAGTTACTGCTCAACAGAGCATCAGAATGGACAAAATGAGGTATCTAAGCAATTCAATGATTGCTGGTACGGGATCAGTGGTTCAAAAATATCCATTCTTTCGGGATCTTCACACATTACTGTTTATAACGCTGACAGAGAATGGTGCCGTGGAGAGACAAACATCCAACCAGCTCTGTAAACAAAAGCATTTTGTTAATGGCAGAGGTCTGAGGAGATCGTCCAGGTTCCGTAAAGCTATCAGGAAGACGGCAAACGCAAAAATGATGGCTTGGGGTATCAGTGATGTGCAAGAAAGGCTGAATCTCGCCTCTGCGGGCAGAAGGTGCTCATTCCAGGAGGCCGGCAGCAGCTGAACCGCTTCTGAGTTTGTCTTTCTCCCCTCGCAAAACACAGGTGGTATCAGAGGCAGGGAAAACTAAACGGTTAATGAGCTCAGTGTTTGCTGGGTGTTCAGAAGGTTTCTAACCCTAAACAGTTTCTGTTAAAAATCCAAGAATATTATTGGGAAATTACACAAGCATTTAAATACTAGTCAAATAAGAGCAACAATGAAACAACCTCATGATATCTTGAAAAATAAGGCCAGACAAAACAGCACAGTGTCCAGCGGCATCACCGATAAAACATTCGGAACTGCAAGGAGAGAACGGGCAGGGCGACACACTCACGCTGGCAGTCCGGGCTCTGGGAGTGGGCAGCCAGCGAGCCGCGTGGCACGGCCTCGCCACACAGGGGGCACGCGGCGAATGCCAGCCGGCTTTCACACTCCGCTAGCAGGTGCTCTGTGAGGCTGGCGATCTCCACCACCTCGAAGGCAACCGGAGAAAGAACGACGTTCAATAAAACAACAAAACACGTAAAGAGTAACCAGGGTTATTATAGTTTTCAAATTTACATTAGTCTTAATTTTGGTTTTCACTTTTAGTTCAGTTTCAGTTTCTTTTAATAGTGTAAAAATAGTTTTAGTGTTATTTTTATTTTATGAACATTTCTTGTTTTAGTTTAGCTTTAAGTATAGGTTTTAGTTTTCAGTAGTGTTTTGATATCACATTGGAACTAATTTACATGCTTTCACCCTGCACAAGAAACAGCTAAAGAGAAAGCATGAAACATTTGGGTTTGCTGCCCCAACATTCCCTTCAAAACGCTCATCACCCTGTTTTTAAAGCTGTGACCCTGCTTTATTGATACTCTTATTCACTGATTACAATATGCAACTTTATGGGATTTGGCACTTTTGGAGAATGTAAAGTCTAGAAATGCACCAACATGGCGGACGACGGCCTTCGTTTCCTGTGGGCGGTATGACGTCAATTGTAACCAACAACCACAGTGCAAAATCGATGGGATAAAAACAAAAATGAAGCTGATTTTACCTGCATTTCTATTTCGTTTTAGTTTGGGTTGCTTTTTTCATTGTAGTTTTTATTTCACTCCTAGTTTTAGTCTCAGTTTTTGTTAACTAAAATAACCCTAACGATAACTCCTTAGCCTAAGTCCTCCTCTAGGCTAAACTTTTGTTAAAATATGAGATTATGCCTAAATAGAAACCAGTTATTAAGCTTTGTTTAATGATTTGCCATTAGATTTTATTAATTACACTTATTTCTTTATATTCCTGTACCTATTGTCAAGCTCTGAGAATTGCACGTGTCTCTCAGAATATGCTACGGGCTTTAATAACCTGCAGCTAGGGGTGATTTCTCTCTCATCTTATTTGAAGGTCTGTGATGTGACATGCAACCCTGCTTTGGTTTCTGGGTGCTATATATAGGTGCAATATAAGCAAATGAAATGCAAATGGGACTCAGTGCGGACATGGGCTAGCGGCTTGTTTCACAAAGCCTGTTTGTGGCGTGGCTCCGCCCACACGGTTCAGAGGTGGAGCCAGAGCTTGGGGGCGTGTCTGCGCAGGCCGAGGGGCCTACCTGTCTGCAGTGGTGGCAGCGGCACAGCATGGGACAGTGCTTCCAGTAGTGCAGGTCCAGGCCCTCCTCCGTGAAGGAGTCACTCCTCTCACCACAGAAGATGCACAGGCTGAAACACAGACCAGGAGCGAGACTCACTTTGTGGAGAAAAATAAAATAAAATCTTCATTTAAAATAAAATAGTGAAGTACACCAAAGTAAGCATTCATTGGCATACTATAAATACAGTTTGCTTCTATCTGCTTCCAGTATTTCATTATCACTGAGGCTCATTTTCCTTTCCAGGCACATGGAGGTTCGTGGGAATTTTCTCTTCTCTTCTAATGTAAATATCATCAAATGAAGTCAGTTATAAAGCTATGTAACAACTTCCAGGGTGCATAAAATATACTCTGCACAAACATTCAGAAATAATGTGCAGGCAAGACAGATAAAACATCTCAAGCACGCAGCTGACGAGGAACCAACACAGGTACCAGTACTGCTGGGCTGTTTCCAGTGGCTGAACAGAATCAAGTGCAAGATAGTCAATGGAACAAAAGCTATACAAAAAATATACATAAAGCACTGTCTAGAACCTAATTTCTGTAAGCTAAAAAAGAATAAAAAATCATCCACAGAATCCAACAGGAACTAAGTCTAAATGTAAAATACAAAAACAGAGCATCCAGCCCGTCAACAAAGCAATCAATGAAGACGATAAGCTGGTGAGGGGCAGTGATAGAATGAGGTGGTAACTTTACTTTTAAAAGTTTTATTCACAGTAGATACTTGGAAGTCGGCATGTATTTGCAGGACTTTCCTGCTAGAACACAGAGAAACATCCGCAATACTAGGTCTCCTCCTCTCACGAGGCCGCTGAAGAACCAGACAACCGACCTATATCTAACACGTAGCTGGTCATGAAGCTGATAGGAAGCACAGTGTAGCACAGCCTGCTCCTCCAGCAGAAGTGAGGTTGGTGGTGAGGATCCTGGGCAGAGCTACAGATGATCTCTCATCCTTTCAAGCTCGTGAAGCAACAAAAAATGGGCTCTACAGAACCAGGATTATCCAGCCTCAGATTTGCACCATTATAGCACATTAAAATATGAGGTAACCAGTGCAGAGATACTGATTCCAATGGTGCAAAGTACCACTGCAGGCTGCTGGGTCCTCAGGCCAGTTTTAAGTTCTGTGCTGTTGAGTCAGCAGACACATGCCTGGACCTACCTGTCCAAAAAACCAGCAGCTGGTGACTGGTCACCGCCCATGTGTGAAGGACTGGCGCTATGAATCTTTCTGGCACCTACAAAGTAAACAGCCACACTGTCACGGTCTAGACGCGGTCTGAAACAAATTATTCCCTGTGAGCACAAAGACGCCAACACTGCGGCAGAGACAAACTGCCGCATACAGACCCGCTCTGGGAAGCTTAACGGTCTTCTCTTTCCCCTTGGCATTCTCCTTGCCTTTCTCTCTTTCCTTTCAGAAAAGAACACAAACCGTCAGTCTTGTGATTAGCAATACAATTGATATCAGATCGACAATAAGACGTGAAAGCACTGCACTTAAACCTATATATCTATAATCAGAGTTCTGTTCTCAATGTAATTTTGAGTGTGTTGCGTTTTCTTGGATTATCAGACTTTACTATCAGCTAAAGAAACATAATATAATATAAGACAGGATTGTGGCAGAGGAGTCACTGGCTGTGACTCACTGCCCCAGGAAGGCTGACACACTGCCGTACACTGATCTCCTTCAGTACTGCTACTTGCTCCTGCAGAGTCAGAATTTCCGCTTTCTTCTCTTTTTCCACTTTCTGCATGCCGTCTCTTTTCAGAGTCTGAATAAAAAAGCAAAGTAAGACATCTTCTCTCCTCAACACCACCCCCTCCCCCCCCCTCCATTTGGTAATGCGGGAGAAGTTGCCGCATTAAATTACTATGTACTGCCCATCCTTTAGACCAGTGTTTCCCAATCTGGTCCTCGGGGGCCCACAGACAGTCCACATTTTTGCTCCCTCCTGCAGCACCTGGTAAAAAACAGAAAATGTCTGCCAGGGAGCTGGGAGCAAAAATGTGGGTCGGTGGGTCCCCAAGGATTGAGTTTGGAAACACTGCTTTAGACCAAAGCAGCCAACAAATACACCCAGTGACATGTTCCCAGCTCTGGCAAATAGAATGTTATGTAATTTCCTTTTTGGGAAATTAATGATAAGTTCTCTTTACTGGAAATGACAAAGAGGCTTTTCTATTATTTCCATGATCATAAGCTTCAAGTGTATGACCATTTGAGTAATCTAAACTGATTGGACCCAATGAATATGTACAAAATTGCCAACAGCCAAAACTTTGCAGTCTCAACCATGTGTTTTGTGGGTTATGACCTCAACGAGAACATCAATGGCACACAATGTGCATTTGCAGGATGAGCTCACTCCGCTCCGCAGCCCGATGGGTGTGCCATCTAATTTTGCCAGTCCGTCGAAGATCTTCCTGTAGACCATGTTCCTGCGTGTGCTGGCCTCGTCTGACGGGAGAAAGCCGCGCACAGCATCTCCGTACTGCCCGTATGCGGCCAGGATGATACGCACGGCTATCTCACGCACCGCGGCGGCACTGTGCTCCAGAGCGGCTGTGGAGAACTGACAAACACTCACACTTTAGCAGAGCAGTACAGCACAAAGCCACCCAAACTGAAAAACATCCAGCTAACGGGGGATATTCGCCACATAGGGTTATGTCAAACACAAAAATACAGCCCTTCTATGCACAATTATACATCTTCTAAAGTTAATCTTTCAAAGAAAGCTGTATCACCCATGACTATTTTTAAGAGTATGTGGTTGGTAAAATGGCTACTGTAGATAATAATTAATTAGGTTACAAACTTTTACATTGCTAATTTAAGTAATTAAACATATTATGTCACTTTCAAGCTGGATGCCGATGATATTATGACAACCTTAACCCCCACTCAGTCCTAACCATAACCATAAGTAACCAAACAAAATACAAGAGTTTTTGCATTTTTAGTTTTTTCATTGCAGTCACAGATTTCTATAAAATAGAGCTTTCCCATAACATAAAAAAGGGGTATTCATCAAATGTCCCCACAACGTGATGACCCCAACGTGGACCACACACACACACACACACACCTATCACTATGATGATGAGTCAATAAAATGCAGTGAAAATCTATTAGCCTCAAATAATAACAAGAGCTGTTCATCATTTTACCCACCCATCTTCCATAATCGCTTTTTCAGTACAGGGTTACACGGGGCCTGGAGGCATTCCCACAATGCACAGGGAACAACCAGACATGATGTCATCATTTTATTTCTCCTAAATTACAGAATAATATTGAAAGCACTGAATAACTCTTTTTTTCTGATCTCCTCCCACTGAACAGGCAGAATAACTTGTGTCCCTGTTAACAGCACAAGATGTATTCATTCGGTCATCCTCAGATGGCTCTTCAACCCTGAAGCCCTGACTTCATTCTGGAAGCTTCTCTCACAGCCTGTTTGTGTCTGGATGCACATTTCTCTGTAGCCATTTGTTTTTTGACTATATTAGAAGATTATTCGTAGTAGTTCTATAGCCAGAGCTCACTGGCATAATTGGTGGATTTTAAATACGAGAACATGTTTTATACTGTGATGCATGCACGCTACGATGCAGAGTAATATATTTACATGCAACACTAATTATTTATACTGATTGGCAAAGACCCTGTACTAAATAAACTAAAAAAAAAATGTAAATTATGGTGGAGTTTTTTAAACTTCCAAATAATAAAGAAGTCCTTCAGAACCAGCTGCAAAATATCTGAAGCAGGTATCTGAGCTACCTCCCAGAAAGGCTACAGAAGTGTTATCTTACTGGAAATCCAAAAGTCCATCCCAAGCATCACACGCATATGAATGGTTACCACCGGACCCTAACACAGACACCTATTGAAACATAACTGTCAGACATTCCTTGATGAAAAGAGTGAGTTCCAACCAGAATAAAGCGTAACAACCGGCACAGGTTCCAGACCCCCCCCCGTCCCCCTCGCCATCCCACCACAGGGTCCCATTATTCTTTCATCTCGCTCCCTCCACTCCTCATTTTAATTACAGGAAATTCAATCGCCTCTTTGGTCAAGCTTGGAGCACATCTCCCGGGAAACCGGAGGGAAAGGCAGAAAAATGTATTAATCTTGAAATGGGGGAGGGGGGTACCTCCCCAGCACACTAAGAGTCTGGAAGAGCGACTCGCACACTCAGTCACAAGTGACACTGGATTAGGCCGGGTGTCAATGGAGAGGATGTTAATATCCAAGGGCACTTGCACCACTTAATTTGCACCGGCAGATTTCTTCGACAAGTTACGGAGGTTGAGGACCATACCCAATACCGTGATGGCAGTGCTAGACTTCCTGGAATTTGAGCTGTGACCTTTTGGCTGGAAATTTCCAAACTGCCCGCAGGTGTATGAACCTTGTACTCGGTGACTCGTGAATGATATCAACTAACATGGTTGAAACGAAAAACTCACCTCTCAGCAATTACAGATTTAACGTCATTCAAAATGAACATCTATCAAGTAACATACACCTTACTATCAAGAAATGATTAAGGTTTACATCAGAAGTATAATAATAATAATAATAATAATAATAATAATAATAATAATAACAATAACAACGAAACAACAATAAAAATAACTATAATTATAATAATAATAATTATTATTATTTTTATTATTAGTGTAGCAGACATCATTTTTGAGTGAGTGGTTATTTGTGTTTTTGTTATAAATACATCCGTGCCTTGGATAAGTAACAACATGGCTACAACTTCACCCACAGGAATAACACCTTTTTTGTAGTTTGGGGAAAATGCAGGGACTATGCATTTCATTTGTGAAAAGGCACACATCTACATTAATCACTGGCTTCAGAAAGTTCAACACAAACAAGACGAAGGACAAAACTCGGAGAGGGCACAGGATGGTCAATTCAGTGATGTTTATGAAGTACCTCTGGACACAGCAGGCTAGAGGAGGTCCTCCATGGATTGGAGATGTTTGTTCTTGCTGCTCTCCGAGTCAATATTAGCCCTAGTGTAAGTGTTAACTACCCTTCGTTGTTGTTCAGGGAGACAGGGAGCAGATGTAGGTTCCATGGCAGGGTCAGGCTCTGGTTGGAGGTCAGAGATGCCATAGAACGGCTGACCTGCTGTGGAATTTTGAAGGCTGGAGGGTGAAGCTCCACTGTCTTTTGAACTCTGTCTCTCTCTGTTACGCTCCCAGAAAATCTTTTGACATACAGAAAACTTTGTACATATTGTTAGAAGCATTGTGTGATGTCTTATTATTTGATTCAAGGAAGTAGTTTTAAGTTTACTGAATGGTATCGTGGATTTTTTTTGCAGATTAGATGAGAGAGAGGCAAGCGTCAACCGAAGGCTCTATTTCCAGATTGGAACCTAGATTTCTTAGTCAAAAGACCCGTTCTTCGTGGAATCCGGGTTGGAAATGGCTTGACAAGGAGAGAAAAATGGAACATGGAAAGTAAAAGGCTGAATGAAGCTTCATCGACGGCCGCAAACTGTGCGTTGTATCTTTTTGTTGCTAGTTTTAGAATAGCGTACATGATTAAGTTAACCTGCAAGACCAGTTTGTGGTATAACCGGATTTAAAAATTATATTCTGTGAATATAGAAAGCATTGTCTGCGTCAAGTTTATGTAATGGTGCTTTGTGACATTTTGCAAATTAAACAGCTACAGACATTTTCGCTTGACATGGATAGGCCAGAGAGGGAAAAATGGATGGTAAAACTGACAGAAAAGGCTTGGAAGGAACTCGTGTCCAGACATGCGCATGCACACTGAGCTAAGCTAGGGCAGGTAATTAGCATTGCGAAACATACTAAGCAATTAATGAAAGATGATGCAAACATGAATGTCGTCAAGGACAAACTGTGAATTGACCTCAGTAACTTCCAAAGGGAATTTTGCAAAATGAATTGTGATTTGAAACTTCGGTCTATGACTGAAGAAGAATATTTGAATAATCAAAACAATTGGTTCGTTCCAAAAACAAATACAATGGATGATTTATTTTCTGGAGATGGGAAGGATGGATGAGTGATGGTTTAAAATGTTCTACAAAAGCTGAAGAGTGTGATGCACAAGTAGCCCCTGTAGATAACGTGCCTACGATATTAAAGACAGTCACTGAATGCTCTAGCAGGCAAGGTTCTCAGTGTGGAACTGTGGTGTCTGCAGCTTCACCAGCCAAGATGAAGGCCGAAATGGAGAAGGCTGCATTAAAAGCAAAGGCATCAGCGTTAAAGGAAAAATTAGCCATTGAAAAAGAAGAATCAGAGTGGCAAGCTGAGCAGATGAGGAGAGAAGCTGCGATAAAGGGAAGAAAACAGATGCATGAACTTCAGACTGCAATTACTGAGGCAGATGCAAAAATGGAGGTTTTGCAAAAATATGAAAACATCCAAACACACAGGAGTGTGGTGGAAGTTAGTGACGTTCTGACCTCTCCTCCTGTATCAGGAAGTTTAACATAAAAAACTAAAAAATAAGAGAACAATGGCAGTTTTCAGTATATGAGCTAGAAATAAACTACCTTTAACACCAAACTACCTATTTGACGGGAGCAGGAATGATTTGTGTTAAGTCGTAGTTAGCTCTGTAAAATTATATTCCTCCATTTTTAATTGTCGACATTCACAGGATCCACCCCTGACAGTGCAGCATTACTTCTAGTCTTCCAACTTAAAACAAATGAACTTATTTACAAATAAACTTACAGACCTCTTCGCACTGTGCATACTGTTTACTTGTCTGCATTACCTGCACTTGTCTTTGCACCCGTCAGTTTTGTATTACATATTTGTGCGCATTTACATTGCTGCTGTATCCAAAAGAATTTCAACCTGGAACCTATAATGTTTATCTTAATTTATCTTGAATTACGTTTAGTTAGCTTCCAAACTGGCAGCGTCTGTTATTTATAAATGTCGGTTTAAGCTCCCAGGTTTACATGAACATTCTCAGTGACGTGTGATAATCTGCGGTCTCCCTTCGGCGGGGAGCTCTGTTCCAGCCCCAGGGCCATGAAACCGCTGACTGCGGCCCATAGTCAGGCCACACGTCTCTGTGACCATAAGGGCGAGAACCTCAGAGCAACCACAGCAACTCGGGCGTCTCTTCACCAAGAACTCATTTGCCTTTCCGTCCTGGTCTGGCTCCCTCTTTCCCGTACAGAGTGTGACGGGAGCCCAGCGTCCTGGTGAGGTGGTGGCGGGGGGGGGCGTCTGACCCTTACCTGCATGACGCCGTTGACGCTGAAGCCAGCGTCCGGCAGCAGTCGCTCTACCAGCTGGGCGCGGACCAGTGCCAGCCGGGCCAGGGAACCCGACGGGATGGGCTTCACCAGCTCGCCGGGGATAATCTGCAGCGGTCTCACCTCCTTAAAGAGGGCCATTTCCTGGTGGGGGGGGGGGCATGCCACAACAGGGGCCAGCTCAGACATCACTCACTGAAGGGCAAAAACACCCACTGCAAACATTAGGCTTAGTCAGCGTTTATGTTCCTCCTCTGTTCATAGCCCTGTGTTATTAACCAGGTATAAAAACAATAGAATATCAAACATTAAACACCAGCAGAAAAACAGTTTAAGATTAACAACACTGAATGTACATGATTTTTAGCTCTATTAGTAATGTCAGCAGTGTTTAAGCCCAACTACACGTAAATCATTAGCCAATCAAACTATAAGCTTTGGACCCACAGTTTCCTGTCCTTGTTTTCCTTTCATTAAACGGCCCTCCCCGAACATGCCTGTTTGTAATAATTCAGTTATTTATAATTGATAACATAAAAACTTCAAAGATTTAACACAAACCAGAAGCAATGATTCAATAAGAGGCGGGCCGTATTAAGGGCCGAAGCTGATTGGCGCTTGGCAGCCTATATGCTTGGCTGGAGCTGATTCGATTTCTTCAGTGCCCCGGAAAGCCAAGGCGGTGATCTAAGTGCTGGAGTATAGGAAGTGCAGGCACATCAACGTAATTTCAATCTGGACACTAGACAGGCAGTGATTTAACGTGAGCGACTGCCTGCCAGGCCCAGTCATGGAAGAAAGGCCCTTGTGTTCACAAGCTTCAACTGTTAGCTGTAGAAGCTGGATGGAGTTGATGGGTGGGGGGGGGGGGGGGGGGGGGGG